CTCGTAAGAAACTCGTTAACCGAGGGGTTGCTCGTTAACCGAATTTAAGAATCTTATGGGAGACAGCTCGTTAACGGAGGTGCTCGTTAACCGAGGGACCACTGTATAATGCATTCACGGAAATGTAATATTTTTGCTGAAATGATGTACGTATTACAGTTGAAAGTGAGATAAAATCGTGACTACAACAATGACTTTCGCTTTCGTTCGTTCAAAAGATGTTACCGTAATCGCTTTTCGATTGGTTTTCAGTTAAAAAACTGTTGTATTTCAATAATATTCTATCCTAATTGACTTGAATAAATACTACGATACCATATTTCGGAATATTTTCATTAAAATCCATCCAAATCATTTTCCTTGTCATCGTCTGCAGCACCAAACACCTTCTCCCAGTCCTCTCCTTGAACAGGGCTAGAGGGTACGTGTTTTTCGAATCGTTTTCAGTTAAAAAACTGTTACATCACACGTATATTTTACCTAAACTGCGCCTGAATGAATATATTCTCTGAAATAAATTGTAGTTTTGCTGAAACGTGATGTATTTCAATGTAAAATAGGATAAAATACATGACGAAAACAAAAGACTTTACCTAAGCTTTCGATGTTCTTGAGATGTTATTGGTTTTTTTTACTAGTTTTCGGTTAAAATACTGTTACAGTTAACCCTCACTTTACGCGGTTAATGTAACCCGGAGGGTCCCGCGTAAAGTGAGAAACGCGTAAAGTGAATAACATAACATATGGGATTAATTGAAATGGAGTCCGGGCCGATCCCCAAACTCCACTTTTTGACGACACACAACTATGTTGTAGTAAAAATATTATCTTAACTTTATGATGGTATGCACACACAATTAATAATTAAGAGAAATATCAATAATATTAGGTTTTTTAACACTTACATTAGTAGAAAAAATGGCTGGGCACACGGGGATGGGCGGTTGGTTCCGAGGTAGAGGGCAGATTATTGGCCCTCACCTGTGTCACTTGTATCAATTGTATGACTATCCACCACAGAGGCTTGCAGGGCCTCTTTGTCAAACTCCCCAAAGTCCATATAAGTCCATATCCTCACCATAATTATCACTATCACTGACTTGGGCCGGCTGTGGTGGGTGGCGGGTGAAGAACTGGTAATGTTTTGATGACTGGGCGACCTTGTGCGCACCATGTTCGCGCAGCTTACACAACATGGCGGATGGCGAGAGGTTTGGATCCAAAAATGGCGCGGCTCGCCAGCCGCTCTCCGCGTAAAGGGGTACACGCACCGCGGAATGTGAGCATCCTGGGTTCCGGCAGGGCACCGCGTAAACGCGGAATGTGGGACCGCGTAAAGTGAGGGTTAACTGTATATTACAATGATATTCTATTCATACTGTGCTTGATATAATACATTCACGGAAATGTAATATTTTTGCTGTAATTATGTACGTATTACAGTGGAAAGTGGGATAAAATCGTGACGAAAACAATGACTTTGAAATATAATGCAATATTAACCCCTAAATCGGTTAATTCGGACAATCGGCTAAAACGGACACCCTTCACCCCCTATTAGTCCGAATTAACGAGGGCCGACTGTATATATATTATATATACAGTGGGGTGTGCTATAACGAATCTAATTGGTTCTAGAACCTTGTTCGTTATAGCATTCGTTCGTTATAGGATTAATCCGTTCCAGGCCCCCAAATACAACCACTTAACACTGAAAAATATAATATAAACTTGTAAAAAAGTGCATAAATATGCATCTAAACCCCTGAAATAAAGAATATCATTAATACTTGTAATAAAAAAACAATAAATTGGTAAAAAAAATATATATATTTTTTTTAAATAATGTTCGTTGTAGGAGTTTCGTTCGTTATAGCATTCTCAATTTTATAGGTAAAACCGTTCGTTATAGGAATATTCGTAGTAGGATCCGTTCGTTATAGCATACCCCACTGTATATATACATACACATTCTTGGAAACGTGACGTTAACCGAAATGGACGTTGTCCGATCATCACATAAACTTTTTATTTATACTTACGATTATGTGGAATACTATATACGTACATATACACTTTTACTCTTAAATCACTACTGTAATGTGATACAGGTGATTAATTTTTATCTCTTGTGGAAAATACATGACGTTTATATTAAAATTATTCTCTGTTTTACAAGGATTCCAACAACGCCAGCAGATGGGGGAGAGAGAGGGTGCGTGGGGGCGTGGGGGGAGGGGAGGTAGTACGTTTGACAGTTGGCACAAGACCAGGTCTAACTCGTGTATATTTATCAGTTCTTAAGTGACTAAGCTTCTCTCTTATAAAAAGTCAGTGAAATGACCTGGGTGAATATAATTAACATAGCTGGGATTCTTGTAACATACTGATTAATTTGAATATAAACATGCTATAATTTACACTAGACATAACAATTTTAGTTCCGTAATCAAATTAGTACATGTACACTCCAGCTTTGCACTAAGGTCATTTATTTCTTTTATGTGTCTTTTAGTATGGTGTGTGCATGTAAATGGATGAAAATAAATGAAGAAATTTATGTAAATCTACCCAAAAATACAGTTGAAAAACTTTTTATTAAATGTACTACAGTATTGTTCACTAATGTACTACATTTTTTATATCTTGAGCAAAATATATGACGCTTATATTCAAATTAATCTCTGTCTTGCAAGGATTTGAGCAATGCAAATTATATTATTGTAACTTTAGTCTGAGATATTATATAAAATAAACATAAAGAAATCACCAATCTTTTATCTTGAACATGAGGGTGGTGGGAGGGGGCGGGAGGTGAGGTGACAGAATGTCTGGCGTTTGTTTGTTTATTTATTTGAGGTAAGATTTGACAGTTGGCACTGAAGGCCTGCCTGCGTCTTTATTTATCATTACTTAAGAGTGACTAAGCTCTTCTCATAATTTGCCACCCAAACGACCTGGGTGAATATAACTTACATTGGAGGGTTTCTTTTAAGATAGTAATTTATTTGAATGTTTTTTTTTTCTCAATTTAAATTTTAATTGTTTCTTCCTTGATAGAGGAAGCGGGATCCTAGTGCTGTCACTTGGTACCCCTGTACCATAACACCAGAAGCAACTGGCCAGTGTCACCAGTATATACAGTCATCCCTTGGATATCGCGCCTAATTGGGACCCCGCTGATAATGAAAGTACAGAACCTATGGGATTTATTCTAATTGGTTCCAGGCACCCAAGACCCAACCCCAAGTTTCCCATTTTATGACCATTTATACCCACTAAATATATATATATAATGTTATGGTAAATATCATAAATACACATAGGCATGGCTAGGTTTATTACAAAGTGATGAAAAGGGTACGCTTAATACTGTAGTCCACAAAACATGTAGCTATGCTTTTTTTATTTGGTTCCTCGTCGTACGAGTCCGTTTTCTCTCACATCAGGACGCCTGAGTCCTCCGTTTTCTCTCTTAATCTTAGAGTACACCAGAAACTTTACTATTTTTAGTAATGCCACAGAATTTGAAATTGCAACCCCAATTGCAACTGGGGTTGCAATTGTTGAGGCAACTAGATATGTCTGATTATAGCAAATGTGTTATTGTCAATTTGTAGATGAAAGATTTTATCCTCAATAGATGTAGGTTAACATTTCACCTGTAGGCAAATGCTTAGAAAAGCCTAAGTAAGGAAGCATATTCCTTAAACACATAATATCTGACCAGTATGGGGAGGATCATTGTGTCTCCGTCAGGGGATCGTGGAGTGGTGGTCCAGCAGGCATCACGTGTTTTTTTTGTTTTTTGGGGCCACGGACGTATGTGCGATCTGGCGTTGTTTGGTGGGACGTTCGCATGACTATATATATATATATATATATATATATATATATATATATATATATATATATATATATATATATATATATATATATATATATATATATATATATATATATATATATATATATATATATATATATATATATATATATATATATATATATATATATATATATATATATATATATATATATATATATATATATATATATATATATATATATATATATATATATATATATATATATATATATATGCAAGTAAATCACTGTAGGTGCGCGTGATCTAGGTATATGCTGATAACCACAAGGAAAGAAGAAAACACGAAGTTCCCAAGCGCTTTCGTGTAATTCACATCTTCAGGGGTGAGTACAGACTAGAGAGAGTAATACAAATCAAGGTGTATATATATACAGAGGAGGGTGAGACCAGGTCCACAATGGTCAGGTATTAGGTAATGACCCTACTAATCTTTAAATAGCACACAACGGTTGGTGGTCAGGTCAGATGGTCAAGTGACCCGGCCTTCTCACCTGATCACAAATCTTCTTAATTACAAAATCGTCCAGGCAAGGAAGGGTTTCTCTCTGGGGGCGGTGGTCTGGCGGAAGCCATTTTACAGAACAATGGATGCATGATTACACGGTGTGGCCTGGAGGGATGAAACTGCCGCGGCTAGGTCAAGCGTCGTCTTTCCTCCCTCCCTCCCTCCCCCGGGTGGCACATCATATTACTTTAAACGAATTACAGCTAGCAGCGGAGGGAGGTAGGGATGCATGGCCAATCACAGTCCGATACGTCATATGACGTCAATGATAACGCAACAGAGACATGCACTGCGCAACCTTACCGCGCAGCTTGCCTAGGCGGGAGCAGGCGGGTGGGGCGAATCTAAAAATAGCGTCGAGCCGGACACTCTCCGCGTAAAGGGGTACACACACCGCGGAATGTGAGAATCCTGGGTTCCGGCAGGGTACCGCGTAAACGTGGAAAAGCGGAATGTGGGACCGCGTAAAGTGAGGGTTGACTGTATATATATATATATATATATATATATATATATATATATATATATATATATATATATATATATATATATATATATATATATATATATATATATATATATACTGTATATTTATTTTATTTACAGGAATACTTTGGAAGGCTTGTGTGAATGGAAGTCGCAGGAGTTTTGTGACAGGTTGCAAGAATACCTTAAGAAGAATATGCAATGGATGAAGGCTATGGTTCAATTGAAGAACAAGAGTTGTCCTGTCTGGCACAATGTAAATACCACTCAGTATATGAGGTTAAAATATTTTCTCAAATTTTAATAAAGTGTATATGGTACAGTACTACAGGTATATGATTATTACAAGGGATTGGATAAGTTGTACCTAGGAAAGTAAATCCTGTACATTATGTCTTATTATACGTATTCATAAATATTGACTTGATATTTATATGTTTAACATGAAAATGGTAAAGAGTAAGAACTAAACTTCAACCCTTTATGTTACAGGTTGAATTGATATTAGCTCAGATGAATGGTGTCTCAGATGGATACAATAGGACAGCCAACATTCCCATAGAATCTGATTCCATTTTGTAAGTTGGTTCACTTGTACATTATTTATTTTATTTATAAACAAGTGATAATAAGTTATTAGTATAGCTTTTATTAACACAGTATTGTACTTTTAAAACATTGGTCAAAGTATAAATACACTACAGTACCTGTAATCATATTTGTGGCATTTAACCCTTTGAGGACAGCGATGGCAACTTGTCATTATACTGCCAGACTGGGGTCACTAATTCTAAGGGGAAATACTTAGCTCTGTTCTTAATTTCTAAGGGTTGCTGCCACCAGACCCCCTCTGGACAGTATGTAGCTCATTAAGTAGCGTGCAGAGTGGACTAGGCATTGGGTTAGGTTTTTCATTGACCAAATTGATAAGGGGAAAGAAGGGTGAAACCATAACATGTCTTAGTTCTTTCAATTTATTATAAAACATACTGTAAAAACAATACAAGTGAGTTGGCCTTCCTCAGAAGAACAACGATGATTTTGGGTACCCTTCTTACAATATCACTCACATGTCAGATTGTACCTTTCATTACCAATATGACAACTTACATAAGATACTTCACACACAACACCCAACATGAGATAATTGTTTCCAAACACATACAACACCACTGTGGACATATAACTCCCAGGCATGTCCCAGGGTATCACACTGGCGCCTGTAACACTGACGATCGCTGTGGTGGTCGGTTAAAGCCAGACACATGGCGAGTCTGGGGTCTGGCTCCACGAGGTAGAGTGGAGCCGATTAATCATGTCGAATCAGTGCCATCACTCATATATTGACTACTGCTGGGTATCCACTGGCTCCGAGCGACCGGTGGGGTTTCAATTAAGCCCACCGTCTATCTGATAACAAAGGTAAAAGGTGATACGGGAGGTTTTTGGGGAAGCATGGTGAGTCACAAACAAATCTTTCGTCTCGCCACGTCAGATATTTACGTTATATTACTTCTTACACTGGGTGAATGACAATCCCACTGTTAAAGCATGAACACTGATGAACACTGATATTCACTTCAATAGACTGAATCAAACTGAATGGTTATAAACACAGAACATACCTGAGAACGATGGTGAAAGATGATACAGGAGGTTTGTTCCTCCCACTCGCATTGGTTTATATACCCCTGAGTTGCCAGCGATCACTACTCACACAATGACAGAAATTACACACAATCCAACTGTTACTCATTCAAGGATGACCCTCAGTTGACAAAGGTCTGGCGAATTACTAAAGTTGATTTACACAGACTAATCCAAGATTGCCTTTGCCAGTAGAGAGTGGAATAAACATAGTGACAACTGTGTTCGAAGGCAGGACTTACTGGGAGTGATCTTGAGGGTAAAACGGATGGGAAAGACACATCTCTCCTGAGATTCTACAAGCGCGGTGGATTTGAATGTTATGTAGCGTAATATGAATTAAAGTGGGTTTTTAGGAATGACAATGATGTGCGCAGTACATCATGACCGACTGGATGGGGGAATATAAACAAATATAACATTTGAATCCTACTATAAACTGAGCTATACCATCAAAGCTCAGGGGTCAGGGAATAAACAAAGAATCACTCCAATTCCATGTGGGAGCCTCATGGTTAATGGATGCTACCCCACTACCACAAGTATATACCTCATCCTTGTCACTGAAACTTCCTTAACATTCATTACAACCGCTCTTGTCTACAGTATCTTGGTGAAGAAGCTGATACATAATGGCTGGACAAGGGAACACTACAATTTTTTTCCTAATTTCAAAAATATATCTTCATATTTAGCAGTTTTCCATTGGCAACCTCTCATCACATCTAGAATAAATCAATAACCCCAGGCGACAAGAAAAATGAGTTGCAGAATGTGTCAATGGTGAAAATACTTCAGTTAAAAAGCAGGGATTTAAACTTCAATGCATCAGAATTAGTTAATTGCACCTGTGGCACCTTGAGATTCACCCAATCATGGCATAGTATTTAAGATGGAGGCCTGGCCCATTCTTGCTAAGTTAAAAAAAAAAGGACAACAATATAATCTTCAGGAAAGTCACAATCTTCATTTATATATCTGTCACTATCCATGGGAGGGTCATCCTTGCATTCAGAATACAAATTAATGGCATAAATTTCCTTCTACATGGGGCACTGCACACGAGCAGATGTGATTTATCTTGACTTGGCTATGATCCATCCATTACTAATGCAGCATTATATGTAGCCACATAGTACTAGACAACAGAACAATGACACTGAGAAGTATGGCTGGGTGTTCTAAATTTAAGGATATTTGCTGAATTTCAGAGAAGTTTAATATTTTGAAATACTGTACTGTATTGCTGATTTTTAGGACTTTTAAATTTTCATGTAACTGAATGCATTGCAAGTGAAGAGAATTGGTGTAGAAGTATATTTAGGTGACATAGTATTAAGAAATCTAGAGAGAGCCTATGAATTCAGTATAGTAGAAAGACAGATTTGATGTGCAGGATCATTGTATCAAAGATGAAATATTTAGAGGTGTAACGTGTGGAGATTTTCCATAAACCACCCTGAAGTAGAAGATACACAAGATGTAGTTAGATTGATGGACTCCTAAAACAACCTTATTGTGGTATTTTTATAATTATTTTTTTTACATAAATAAGTACTCGTACCTGCATTTTAGAAAAGAAAAGTCCGTAATTTTTCTCAAGAAAAATATTTATAATTAATTTCAGATTGTTGAATTTGATGGGAGATCTCGAAGATCTGGAATCAGCCCTGGATCCAAAAATTCATAATATGAGCATAGAAGAATGGGTAAGTAGTGGGCACATTACTGGAGATGGCCACTGCTCGGCTCTTATTAAAGTCCTTCATGGCAATACTGATCTCTATGTTTCGCACGTTACTTGGAACACGTAAGTAAAAAAGTTGCTTTTATTCAATACCGTACTCAGTTCTCTATAGTGATTCCATCTTGTACATCATTATTCTGGAAAATTATTGAGGATAACCAATAAAATGGTTAGTTACAAGAAGAACTAGTATAGTATATAGCTTGTGAGTAGGAAAATTTTTTGGAACAAATTAACCCCTTGTGTATGGGTATCCCTCTGAGCTGAATAGAATTGTCTGGCATTAATCAAATAAAATATCAAAAGTGGGGTTCTCATCCATTCCCAAGTTCGTTACAGTAAACAGGTCAAATTTAGAGATTTTGCAAACAGAATGAAATATGTTTCAGAAGTAATCATAGACAGAGTTCTGGGTAGTTATAACTACCATATTTCCCACCTTGATAAACACACCTAATTTAGCAGGGAATATCTAGGGAAAAATGTTGACTTTCTCAAACCTACTTGTCATTGCTACCAAAGCTTAACCTGCCTTTCATCTAAAGTGACCTTACATAAACAGTTTCTCTTATATTTTTTCTTTCCAGAAAAACAATAACAGTAACACTGAGTTGCATGTTTTATCCATTTTGGCAGGGAGATCATGAAGCTGTAGAAGAAAAATTTAATAATTTAACAATTAAGAAGGACACACGATCTCAACATCAAGCCTATGGTGTATTTAGAACAGTCACTATGGCTGCTTCAATAAAACCTTATTATTTATTTCTAGGTTGACATTTTCCCAGGTTTTTTTTTTCTCAGTGGAACAGATGTAATTAAGCTGAGAATTGTTTTTCATATTACCTGTATCATAACTTTCATGCAATCTTAATGCTAAAGTCTCACAAACTAGCAGATAAGTGGAAAGGAGGACACAATTGTGCTTCTCTTGCAACAAACATTATTTAAGGCTACTGTCTCAACACTTGCTGTAGTCGCAGCCTCAGTAACAAAACTTTTTTAATATTCAGGTATAAAGGAAAAAAATTGTAAGGTTTTATTCAAATTTAAATTCATGGATATTAATTCCATAGGATAATTATTTTTGGAAAGAAATGTGTTGGATTTTAGGGGTAAATCCAGGAATATCAAAGGGGGGGGGGGAACATGACTAGCATAGCAAGATTACCTAAGGGTACTTGTAAGCTCGGACCTACGGCCTAGAAAACAGTGCGTTAATGTTCGAAATAAGGCAAACAGAGTATTGGGTTTTATATCTAGAAGTGTAAGTAATAAGAGTGCAGAGGTCTTATTGCAACTACATCTTGCACTAGTCAGGCCGCACCTCGATTATGCGGTTCAGTTCTGGTGCCCTTATTATAGAATGGATATCAATTCACTAGAGTCGGTGCAGCGAAGAATGACGAAAATGATTCCGGGACTTAGAAACCTTCCATATCAGGATAGGTTAAAGAAACTAAACTTGCATTCCCTAGAAAGACGAAGAGTGCGGGGAGATATGATAGAAGTATTCAAGTGGGTGAAAGGAATCAATAAAGGTGATATAGATAAAGTTCTTCTAATGTCCAAGCAGGATAGGACTCGGAACAACGGATTCAAGTTGGATAAGTTTAGGTTTAGGAGGGAGATAGGAAGGAACTGGTTTACAAATAGGGTGGTGGACGAGTGGAACAAGCTTAGCAACTTTGTAGTAAGTGCTGGAATGCTGGAAAGTTTCAAAGGGAGGCTGGATAGATTCATGGATGATAGAGAGTGGTAGTAACTCTCGACAGGAGCTGCCATGCACAGGCCAACCGGCTTATTGCAGACTCCTTATTTTCTTATGTTCTTATTACCCAGTTGGGGCTTGGGGGGGGGTGGGGGGGAGGGTGCTGTAAGCCCCTCGGAAATTTTTTTGAAGTCTGACCAATATCATGGGCATTTTGAAGCCATGTGCTCTTGATATTAGGAGATATTCTGAGGTTAATAGTACAGTATACTGCATTGAAGAAAAAGTATTGTAATTTTCTGAGAAAATGGGGGGTTTCGAGACCCCCCCCACCCTGGATCCACCCCTGCACAGTATAGTCTGCATTTACGCGGTCATTTGAACCCGTGGAGGTCCGCGTAAAACGAGAAGCGCGTAAACGAAATAACAGAACATATGGGATTAATTGAAATAGAGATAAGGCCGACTCCCAAACTCCACTTTTTCCGACACAATACCTACGTTGTAGTAAAAATAACATCTTAATTTTATGATGGTATGCACACACAATTAATATTTAATTATTGACCCTTGCCTGTATCACTTGTATCATTTGTATCACTATCCACCACAGAGGCTTGCAGGGCCTCTTTGTCAAACCCCTGAAAGTCCATATCCTCACTATCACTGACTTGGGCCGGCTGTCGTGGGTGGCGGGCGAAGAATTCGGTAATGTTTTGATGACTGGGCGACCTTGTGCGCACCCTGCCCGCACCACTTCCCTCGTAAATGCTGAAATTTACCGCGTAATTAAAACATTTCATTCTGGCAAGGCACCGCGTAAATGACCAAACGTGTAAACAAAAACTGCGTAAATCCAGACTATACTGTATTTGGTGAGAATTTTAATGCAGTAGTACCCCGATTTACGCGGTCAATTGAACCCGTGGGGTACCTCGTAAAGTGAAAACCGCGTAAAGTGAACAACAGAACATATGGGATTAATTCCAATAGAGACTGGCCCGACCCCCAAACTCCACTTTTTCAGACACAATACCTACGTTGTAGTAAAAATTACATCTTAATTTTATGATGGTATGCACACACAATTAATAATTAAGAGAAATATCAATAATATTAGTTTTTTAACACTTACATTAGTAGAAAAGATGGCTGGGCACACAGGGATGGGGGGTTGGTTCCGAGGCAGAGGGCAGATTATTGGCCCTCACCTGTATCAATTGTATCACTATCCACCACATAGGCTTGCAGGGCCTCTTTGTCAAACCCCTCAAAGTCCATATAAGTCCATATCCTCACTATAATTATCACTATCACTGACTTGGGCCGGCTGTGGTGGGTGGCGGGTGAAGAGCTCGGTAATGTTTGATGACTGGGCGACCTTGTGCGCATCCTGCCCGCGCCGCTTCCCGCGTATATGAGTAGATGCACCGCGTAAAGTGAAAGTCCAGTTCTGGCGAGGTACCGCATAAATGCGAAATCGCGGAAAGTGAAACCGCGTAAAGTGGGGTATTACTGTACTCTATTCTTTTTTTCTCGTAACTTGTGATGCTTTTGTGATATTAAAGGTAGTGAGTGCTTGTTATATTATTATTAAACTGCATTTTAAATCTTATATGAAATATTGTGGGTATTTGCAGGTATCAGTCCATGTTGAGAATTCAGAAAAAGTACATTTTCCCGTTCCGTCGCACCGGGTCATCTACACCTAAAGATATTAATCCAGGCCACACAGTTGCATTTTCTTCATATCCTGGTATGTTATTCTCAGGAGATGACTTTTATATACTCTCATCTGGCCTTGTAACCTTGGAGACTACAATTGGGAATGGCAACCCAGCACTTTGGAAAAATGTTACAGCAACTGGAGAGGTATGTGTTTGATTACGGTAGATAATAAATTAAAATAACTTGCCCTTTCCATTTCCTCCTTCCTAGGTGCCAGTTTTGACATCCATTCTTAACAAAACTCCAAAGTAAAGCTTTAACAATCTTCTTAATTACTTTAGTTAAACATCTTTACTTGTTAGAAATGTATTTAGACATTATGGTAAATTCCTGTCAAAATTTATGGTCCTGACTCACAGTTACAAAGAAATGTCATTTGGGACAGTATAAGAAGCATAACTTAAATTAAAAAACAAAAAATCCTTGTCATCCAGATCTTCAAATATAGTAATATCTCCGTTAACCGGAATCCCTCAAACCCGGAAATCTCCTATAGCCGGAATTGAAATTTGCCCGGAAAATCTTTCCCAAAGTCGAAATTTTCCAAAAATTTCCGGCTTTAGGAACAAGTTTTCTGAGGTCGTAAATCGAGAGAATTTTCTGAAAATGTCTTGAATAAAGATGAAAGTTAAAGCTTTTTTGGGGGGGGAGGGACCTGACTCAATGTCAGGTGGAGGTAGGGTAGTGGATTAGTGGTCTCATTTTACTGACCTTTTGATGGAATGTCAGGTCACCCTTTCTTGGGTGGCAGATTAGTGGGTCTCATGACCTGAAGATGTCTTGAATAAACACAAAACCTAAAGTATTTGAAGGGAGATTGTGGTAAGAATAAGTATAGTAAATGAGCAAAGGTGTATCCCTTCAACATTACATTACATAACATTTTTAAATATGGAGTGAGAAAGCAGAAAGATGTGGGTAATTAAAGAGATGGAGTGAAAAGGAGTGGTAACATGCACCAGTGTTGCCAAGCGATAAGCTCCTCAACAGCAGATATTTTAATTTGTCTCCTTGCAGTCACACAACAAAACCCTCACTGGATGCTTGTTGTCTTAACTCCCATGTGTGTGTTTTGACCTTGCCAAACACATTGTAGGATTTGAAAAAGTTGATGAAGAGTTTGTTTAGGAGTCAGGTAGTGAGGTGAAATGCCAAGACACTTACACAACACACACATTAACAGCACTACATTATAATTTCTATTTTAAAATTAATTGATACATGATAGCTCGACATGGCTACTTTTACACTTTGACAACTGATCAGTGAATAAACCAGGGCATATGGAGACTCATTATACATTAGTGATGTCACAAACCTTTGAAACTGCAACCACATAAATTATCACAACCTGTACTCAAATGTACTAATTTAATTACTAAAATTATTATGTATGGTGCAAAATAAGGGATGTTTATACAGTACTCAAATTAATTGCTACCTTACAAGAATTTCAGCAATGCAAATTATATTCTCCTTAATCAAGTCAGTGACATTTTATAAGCAAAAATATAAAACCTTTCATAATCCTTGAGTAAACATTAATCTCCCCTTCTGGCTGTTGACACCCCACCTCCCCTCCTCCCAGCCAGACGCAGAAGGGTCTATGGGGGGGTAAAAGTGACCACGACACTCATTTACCAACATTTCTTATGTTTTTTTATAAAAGAATGGGATTCACATCACTATATCATATAGAAATATTTCGTTTAAGGATATCTTAATGAAAGGTTTCGTAGATAATTTATTAAGAATCATTATGGTTATCAAATTCATCTCCCTATCATCATTAGCCACGCTTGAGTGAGGAATGGGGGGGGGAGAAAAGTGACCGCGCAACCCCCAAAGAGGTTCGACTCCCACACTCTTCAACCAAACATTACACACCAACGCCAACTAGTATGATCTCACACACACACTCCAACAACCAGCCACACACACACTCCAACAACCAGCCACACACATACACACCCTCCCCACACACACCCCATCATCACACCCACACGCACTCCAACACCACTTACATATCCCTAACAAGGGAATTAAGACAGCAGACATAAGGAGTGAGGGTCTTATTGTATGACAAATTTGTGTATGTGTGTAACTGTGAGTTAAATATCAGCTGTTGAGGAGTGCTTGGCAACACTCATTTCCACTCCAACTCTCTAATTACCTGCACCTTTCAGCTTTCTCACTCCTTTTATACTTATACTTATCACAATCTCTCTAAAAATACGTTAGGTTTCGTGTTTATTCAAGACATCTTCAGGTCATGAGACCCACTTATCCCCCACCCAAGAAAGGGTGACCTGACATTCCATCAGAAGGTCAGTTACATGACACCAACTAATCCCCCACTCTACCTCCATGGGAGTGGAAAATGCCAGTCTTTGCTGTAACACAATTTCATTCACGCCCATATTATATAAATTTTTAATTTTCAAATATATTTATTTTACCAAACTTTTAGATAAACTATTCTGGATTATTATAGTAAAAAAATGGAGTTTCTAGCTTAATTAGAACTGCATTTACAGACTCTGGCAGTTTAGACTCAAGGAAAACATCCCCAGCACCCAGAAGCATTCTGGGGAAGTGGGCTAGTGTCTGTGTTTGCAAGATATCTAGTTGTTAGACACTTGGAAACTTTTCTCAGTCACTGGAAAATATTCCGGGGATAAGGAATTTTTCCAGGTTTAAGAAAGTCATCTGGTTACCTGGAAATCTCTCATCCCCGGAAGTGCTCTGCACCAATTGTTCCATCTAACGGGGATATCACTGTAATTTTTCAACAGCTCCAGGAGTGGATACGCACAATTGTGGCTAACCGCATAGGTGAGGATGGAAAGAGCTGGACAAATTTTTTCTCCATGCATAATAGTGGTACTTATAATAACCAGTGGATGGTGGTTGACTACAAGCTCTTCGAACCCAAGAAGTATATCAAGTAAGGAGGTACCTAATTTTCAGTAAGAATTACACCATCTATTGGAGTACACGTAGTGTCCCTTAATTCGTGTGCGTGCGTGCATGAGTGTGAGAGAGAGAGAGAGAGAGAGAGAGAGAGAGAGATAGATAGATAATTAACGTTAAACGAGAGATACCTGTATGTATATTCTCTGCAATGGGTAATGAGTATACTGATGACATCCTTATCATATGTGCGGCCATATGCTATAATGCAATAGCTCCGACGTTTACATCTGGGATGCATTTAGTGTCATCCATGGAAAAGGTCGTAAAAATAACAAGGAAAGCTTATTCATCCCCTTTTTGAGCTTTTCATGAAGAATGATGCCTATCTTCTTCAGAAAAGTTTCCTCAAGTTTCTAGTTCACCAGAGGAGTGTTTAAGATTTAAAACCACTTGGTGCAATTTTCTTAGGGGATTTGCCCGTACAGCAGTTTATACTATAGTTCTGTGCAAAATCAAGATACTTTGGTGTACTGTATATGTACCATACTTCTAGACCTACAGCAGGTTTGATATTCACTGTATTGAACATGAGACAAAGGCACAGAAGTTAAATCCTTCCATTTCAATAGTTTTTCATTGCAGTACTCTGGGAGTGCATTGCATCAATTGCACTTACTGTCATCTAGTATTACTAGCAGGATGGGTGTGATGTGTTATTTACTTCTTATTTTTGCAAGATTTTCTTAATTTTTGTCCAGTTCTCTTTATATTTCTGTGATGTACCAGAACACTATACATACTTACATACATACAGTACATTTCTTCTGGCTTGTGTTTAGTAAGTAAATACAACTTAAGGTTAGGTTTGGTGAATTTTTTAGGCCTTCATGTCCCTAACTCCTTATTTTGTATTGAATTACATGCACAGTATCTTTATATCATGATTTTTTATTTCACAAATGCTCTCAGTCCCTATCTCATGAAATAATCCTAGGATACTGAACTGATATTCTCCATAAAATTAGTTCTTGGCTTCCTTGATATTTGTTTCCAATATAATAAAGAGTAAATATTGTTTGTCAATCCAAGGAAGTGTTTGTATACTGTACTGCCAGTTAGGTTCTTGTAGGTTTGTAATGACAAAAAAATCTTGTAACCCAAATGTTTGTAATAAAAGACTCAAGCCAAGGTAGATTTGTAAGGGCATTCCTCATTTTATTTATACTAAATGTTTTGCCATAGTATAAAAAATAATTACCAGCTCTTCTCCTTTTTAATACTGTATTAACTTTCAGACGCAATACATTGTGGGTATTGGAGCAACTCCCTGGCCATATTGTCAGTGCAGACCAATCACATATCCTGAGCAAGCAGTCTTACTGGCCCAGCTACAACGTTCCTTTCTATCCAAGTATTTTCAATCTCAGTGGTGCTCCAGCCATGGTCCAGCGATATGGAGATTGGTTCACATATGACAAAACTCCAAGGGCTCTAATCTTTAAACGAGATCACACTACTGTTAAGAATCTTCATACAATGATAAGGCTTATGCGATACAATGATTTCAAGAATGATCCACTTTCACACTGCAACTGTATCCCACCATTTAGTGCAGAAAATGCTATTTCTGCCAGAAACGATTTGAACCCCAAGAATGGGACTTACCCGTTCAGTGCTCTTGGCCATCGATCTCATGGAGGCACAGACATGAAAATGACAAATGCGAAAATGGCTCAGAAACTTCATTTTCTTGCTGTCAATGGCCCTACATATGATCAACAGCCAGTCTTCCGTTGGAGTGAACAAGATTTTGCAAAAGACACTCCACATTATGGTCACCCAGACACATGGAATTTTCCAGTGATTGGACACAGGTGGCTGTGGTAATGTTATTTTGTGAAATAAAAATGTCTAAGAATTATATTTTGAAAAGGTATTGTACAGAACATGAGTTTTTAATAATATTCATAAAAAAATGCTTGCCAAATAAAACTAATGTTTCAAGTCTTGATCATAAAGGTTCTGAATTTTTAGCTCAATAAAATATTAGTTTTCACAGTAGAATTGTTCACATATTATTAATTATATAGTGTACTGTAGTACCAAGGTTGTATACGTAGCTACAGTATAGACTCTTATTTAACTTGAACAGGTCAGTGCACAGTGGAAGCTTGTATAAATTACTTCAGATTTATAGCAAATATGAACTGTTGAAAGCTTAGGAATACTCTTGTACATCATATGAGTAACCCCTTTACTCCAACTGGGACATACAGTACAGTAAGTCCCCACTGAACGTTAATCCTTTGAATAAATCCACACTATAACGAAAGCAAGTTTTTACTACCCATTTGCCGATTAATGAAAGAATGTTCTACGACAATACTATGAATGGTAAGTCACCCCCACCTTTCTGCTTTCTCATCACCATCACTACTTCTATTATCACCACCTAAATCATAATTTCGCCTCCTTCCCACCCACTGCATCTCACCGACCCTGCCTCTCTCACTCATTCTACTATGACTGTTATTCATGATGGTACAATATTGTACAGTATTATATTTTGTTTATTTGTTATTCTCACTCCATATTTTAAAATTTATGTAATGTAATGTAGAAGGGATATTACGTTGTTCATTTATACTTACACTCAATTTTGAGGGTAGACATCAGCTGTTCAGTTGTGGCTGCAGCCATTGTTACCAACAAACTGATTGATGCATCATCTCACCACTTACCATATCTACCCCTCCATCACCAGCTCCATATCACCATCATCATCACCACCACTACCTCTATTATCACCACCTAAATCGTAATTTCAGTGATGGATTTGCTTTAGCCACAGCAGATTAGCACAATATCCACTGCCTCCCACCCACTTCCCACCTTCCTCCCACCCACTGTGTCTCACCAATTCTGCCTCTTACTCATCCTACTATGACTGTCATTCATATGAAACAATATAGTACAGTACTGTACATTGTTTATTTGTTATTCTTACTCCATAATTTAAAATTTATGTAATTTATGTGAAATGTGACAGAGAGGGAGGAGAGTTAAGTGCAGACGATACTCAACTAGTAGCAGTCACTCACTTCCCTTACTGGCTCCCATTGCCAAGCATATGATTGAAATATGTATGGGAGAAATACATATCTTGTAGTCGAATTTGAAAATGGTGACAGGCCCAATGATAAACAAATTATATAAACCATGCAGTTACCTATGATAACATAATAAGAAACATTGTACTGTATCATTACTAGATTGAATGAAATATTCCCACAAACAACAATTGACAACAGTTTGTTCCCACCTCTCAGTCAACCAGCACCTACGGGCATAAAATGTTCTTAAAATGTTCTCTGCTCTGTTTTGGGAATGCTTCTTAGAGTGGTTTCTGGGAGGCTTTTAATGTAAAGAAAGATCTGGAAAATATTAAACAGGCCTGGGATGAAGTTTTCGATTCTGCAATGAATGGTGTGTGTGAAAATTTTTTTGGGCCAGTGTGTGTTTACGGATTCTCCGTATTCCCACAATCACCACCTGCTACAAACCAGCAGATCGTGCAGCTGGTTCAGCAAGCAAGATTTAATGAGGTGAATGAGGAAAACATAGAGGATCTGCTTGAGGGACATGGTGAAGACCTAACAAATGAAGAACTGCTACAGCTGGAGCCAACACTCCACTCTTTCTTTATAAAGAAAATGACAACCTCAGTTCCTTCGCCAGCTGCCTGTCATCGTTCACTCAGCTGACGCCACCACCTCCTCCACTGCGTTGCCAGCCAACTCCTCCACCCACCACCGCTGCCAGTCCTCTCACCTGAGGACTATGGCAGTGATCATAGTGCCTCAAGTGAAGAGGCAGATGATCCTGCCCCTAGCAATAAATAAATAAGTACTGTAACTGTGTTCCTCTGGCCTCAGAGAGGAACAACCACTGCACCTGTTGCTTTTGACATGGATTTGGTGAGTACAGTAATAATATTTGTACCTTTATGTTTTACATGTTTCATTGTTTTTATCTACAGTATTTTGATGTGTTGCAACTATTTTGTCACAGAGCTTAGTACAGTATGTTACTCTATCACTAAGCTTAGTATATTAATTTATATGGGAAAGATGGTTTCAATGAACATAATCCACCTAATGAAAGCATTAGTGGAACCTAACCCTTTTGTTCAATAGGGACGTGTTTATGGTTTGCTTAACACTGTACTATAGAGTTTTGTGCTTTGAGGGTTACCAATCAAGGTGTTGGACATTGAATATTAGTGGTACACTACAGTACATGTAATGTTGTCCACACTCATACTGCTATTCTCTCCCATACAGTATAAATCACTTACTTCCACCTTAAGGTGTTAAGAGAGGCCTGTATGAGAGCATTGTGCTGCCCGGTCTAATGGTACACCCTGCTGCCATATGGCATCATAAAAATTGTGACCAAGTCCCAGGTTGCTGATCTAATTTTCTGCCTCATTTACACACAATTGCAGGTTTTTAATTGTTTCTCTTACTTTGACAACACAACATACATATTGTATATCATTTCTAACTCATAATTTAATAATACAGTCGGCCCTTCACATACGCGGGTTTAGCATTCATGGATTCGCAAATACGCGGATTGCCCCGCCAGAGGAATATTCTGTACATTGAAGTAATTGAAGTACATTCAAATCGCGCGCCATTCAACTCGCGCGCAGCACCGAACACGGGACACCGCCTGCTCCCGCAACCTCACACACACACGCATAGCTCTCCCTCACTCAGTCAGTCTCGCTGTAACCACACTTGTGTTGACATCAGCATTGTAGTTGCAAAAATATTACATTTCCGTGAATGTATTATATCAAGCACAGTATGAATAGAATATCACTAATATAAGAGTATTTTAACCGAAAACTACTAAAAAAACGAGTAACATCTCTTGAACATCGGAAGGTTAGGTAAAGCCTCTTGTTTTCGTCATGTATTTTATCCAAATTTACATTGAAATACATCACATTTCAGCAAAAGTACTATTTATTTCTGAGAATATGGAAATGTAACATTTTGCTGAAATGACGTACGTATTACAGTGGAAAGTGACGAAAGCAATGACTCGCTTTCTTTCGCTCAAAAGATGTTACCGTAATCGCTTTTCGAATGGTTTTCAGTTAAAAAACTGTTGTATTACAATAATATTCTATCCTATTTCACTTGTGATGCAACAGTTTTTTAACTGAAAACCATTCGAAAAGCGATTACGGTAACATCTTTTGAACGAAAGAAAGCGAAAGTCATTGTTATCGTCACGATTTTGTCCCACATTCCACTGTAATACTTACGTCATTTCAGCAAAAATATTTCATTTCTGTGAATGTAGTATATCAAGCACAGTATGAATATAATATCATTGTAATATAACAGTATTTTAACCGAAAACTATTAAAAAAACGAGTAACATCCCTTGAACATTGGAAGGTTAGGTGAAGTCTTTTGTTTTCGTCATGTATTTTATCCTATTTTACATTGAAATACATCACGTTTCAGCAAAATTACTATTTATTTCCAAGAATACAGTACATTGATTCAGGCGCAGTTTAGGTAAAATATACCTGTGATGTAACATTTTTTTAATTGAAAACGATTCGAAAAACACGTACCCTCTAGCCCTGTTCAAGGAGAGGACTGGGAGAAGCTGTTTAGTGCTGCCGATGGCATGGAAAATGATTTGGATGGATTTTAATGAAAATATTCAGAAATATGGTATCGTAGTATTTATTCAAGTCAATTAGGATAGAATATTATTGTAATACAACAGTAGTGACGATGTGGAGGAGGCGGAGGGATAGAGCGGGGAGGAGGTGACTGGCGGGAGCAGGGACGAGTGGAGATGCCAGCCAGTACATTACGGGTGTATTAACTGTTTTTATAGCTATTTTTGCATTTTAATGTTAAATACTGTACATTATGTTTCAACAAAACTACCATTTATTTCTGAGAACATGGAAATGTAATATTTTTGCTGAAATGATGTACATATTACAGTGGAAAGTGACGAAAGCAATGACTTTCGCTTTCTTTCGTTCAAAAGATGTTACCGTAATCGCTTTTCGAATGGTTTTCAGTTGTGGGATTATAAGGCTAATGATAGGATAGAATATTATTGTAATACAGTACGAGTACAACAGTTTTTTAACTGAAAACCATTCGAAAAGCGATTACGGTAAAATATTTGGAACAACGAAAGAAAGCGAAAGTCTTTCGTCATGATTTTATCCCACTTCCCACTATAATATGTACGTCATTCCAGCAAAAATATTACATTTCCATATTTATTTCCGAGAATACATTCATTCAGTTAAGGTAAAATATACTTGTGATGTAATATTTTAATGAAAATCCAGTATCGTAGTTTTCTCTTGTTTCAAATTTAATTAACAAAGATTGATGTTTCAAATGTAATGAACAAAAATTTATGTCCAGTATCTATAAATTAACTTTAATAAATGAATACTTTGTTTTACATCGTCCTGTGCTACCATACCATGGATTTGGCTACTTTGGGCTCGCAAGAGATCTGCCCTGGCAACTGTACCGACACTCACAGCTGGTGGTGTGTTGGTGCATCGTTTCCATTGTTTACTGGTAGTTACTGGTAAATATTTTTCAACCTAACGAAACTATTACCCGTTTAGAGGTCGACCCCCAATTTTTGCCAAATAATTTGATCTTAAAAACTCGAACTACACACAGGTATATACGGTAAATAAGGACATGGGGGGGCCAGGGATTTTGGGTGGGGGGGGGGCAGCAATAGTACACAGATTTTTAACAATCACGGGTATCTCTGTTATCTAACCCCCGCGAATGTTAAGGGCCGACTGTGTGTGTGTGTGTGTATATATATATATATACAGTTGTACCCCACTTAATGCGGTCAATTGAACCCAGAGGGTCCCGCGTTAAGTGAAATCCGCGTTAAGTGAACAACAGAACATATGGGATTAATTCCAATAGAAACCGGCCCGACCCCCAAACTCCACTTTTTGAAGGCACATACCTATGTTGTAGTAAAAATAACATCTTAATTTTATGATGGTACATGCACACAATTAATACTTAAGAGAAATAGAGAAATACAGTCGCCAAGTTAATGTCCATTCAAATAATGGACTCAACTCCCTCCCACTCTCACACTACACTGCCGGCTCTTCCCTCTCAGAGAAATTTTTGGGGGAAAACCACTAAATTTTAATAAATAATACCTCAAACTAAAGTTAGGATAATACAATTGACATTGCTGGATTCCTTGTAAGACCAGGAATATTTTGAA